TTTCTCTGTTCCACGAGCCTCCCAAGATCATTCAGGCGACTCATAAAAACGATTCATTATACCTCCTTAGGCCACCTTCGACCCTCACAACCAATCTCAAGTAGTGAGATTGGTCACTCGATCGACGGACACGTGTTCATCACGGAAGAGATCTGTTATTGTGTTTATATTGTGCAGGATCGTGCACGCACAGGTATTTCAAATTTCACATTTTATCTCAAATGGCTGCAATTTTACATTGAGAAAAGGGGGGTTATAAAGAAATATCAGCGAAAGTTGGCCCTGATTAAGTAGAAATGGAAGTCGTGATGAGAAGCGGATGTTGGGAAAATAATCCGTACTAGTTAATTGCAGTGATTTACGTTATTGAACAAATTCTTCTTAAAATGTATAAGAACCAAGGGAGATGTATCGGAACAATAGAATTGAGAAGCCTTCATAACATGTAATATAACACTATCAGAGATTGAAGAATATAATCCATATGCTGCTGTATTTGTCCATTGATTGGTATGACAATTTCATTGTAAATTTTTTTTACTGTTCTATTTGTTTTAGGCATTATAATTCAATACATTCTGCAAACATCCTCTTGGGGGGGGGGGGGGGGGGGGGTCGTACACCAATCTTCCTTGTGTATGAAAAAAGATCTTTCTCTACTTTATCTTCTTGATAGGCCACTGGTTTGGGCAGAATAGGGACATCGGGACATCCAATTACTGTTTGCAAAATAGTACTGGCCTTTAGAAATAAAATAGAATCTCATTTTCCTTTTCTCATATTCTTCAATTTTTTCTTCTGCTGATATTAGTTCATCGTTCTCTATAATTTCTTGGCTGTGTTATTTTTTAGGAGCATTTCAATTGTTATAAATGCTACTAATGTCTTAGGAGCATGCTAGGTATCAATCCTAGACAAGAGATATTGCTACCAATGTTTTAGGAGTATGCTCATAATAGAAAATGATGTATATGATGATCATATTACCTCGGTTGAAACATCCAATGAGTGGTCAACATTTAAATTGAATTGACAAACAAAATGTTTGATGAGTGGAGTGCAAGTAGACAAAGAGTGTAATTTTTTGTACTTATATTTGAGAATAATTTTGTTTCTTGGAATTCTATCTCCAATGTTATTGAGATGAAATAAATGAAATTTAAGAATTTCTGTTTTTATTTAACTTGTTTTTATTTTCTATATACTGTTGATTATTTTTTGGACTTGCTTTTTATCGATTTATTTTTTAGTTCAACCTACATGTTCGGATGAGATTCCTAGTTGTCTTGATAGTTTTCTTTTTGGGTTTGCACATGTACTCTATTGAATTCATAAAGAACTATAGTTGTTCATTTGAAATGAATGACCAATTTTGAATAGTTTATTATTTTGATTTTCTGTATGTGAACATATTTTTGAAGGAATTTATTTTCTAATTTTTTAAAATTTATAGGGGTTTAATTCTTTTCAATAGATTCTCATTTTTTCCAATTCTAAATTTTTTTACACAACTTTTAAAGGCAATTGTAATCATAAAAAAAAATTTGTTATTAATTATTTTTTGTCACTATAGATATTTTGGTTAAAGTTGAATTCTATTTCAATGAAAAAATTGTTTTATCCAAACATAAGAATGGAATGAATATTCTATTTCAACACTTAATCCTAAACAGTTACTAAAACATTGGAATGTTAATGCGCATTTCATTCCATTCTCAAGCTCATTCCATCCCTAAACTCATTTCATTCTTACTGAAAAGTATTATCGCGCACCAAACGCAACATTATAGATTTGTCGGATTAACTTATTAATCTCCATCGGATCTGAGCACCCTTAGAAAATAGGTGGGTGTTGCCTTGCAAACTCCCTCAACATCATTTTTCTCCAATTTTTTTCCCTTGAGCTAAGAGCAACTCTAAATGGAGTTGTCATTTTGGGTCGCTAAATCACATATTTGTAAACTTGAACAGTATTTTAACATCCTGAATTATGAATATGTTCTAATGATAGGTGTCAAAATGGAGTGCAATTTTAATATTTTAATATTTTTCTTAAAAAAATATAATTAAACTTAATAGTTATGAGATTATAAATCTACTCCAATGACAGTTACATGCATTTGTAACCTCTCCCTTTCTTTCTCCAGAATTTGGAAAATTGTCACCTCAAGAATATTGTTGTTATTTTTTAACCCTTGATACCACCCTGTTGGAGTGAAAAATTTTGAATTTAAAATGATATTTTGGCAGTTATGGAGTTGCCACCTCTGATGTCACTCCCCCTTAGAATTGCTCTAAAGGTTGGATGACCCGTTGCGATTACTACCACAAGTATATCGAGTAGTATTTTACCAACATGATCTATATAAATGTCAAGTCTCACGCAATTCAATTGAATCATCTAAGATCTCTCTGATTAAATTGGAGTCATCTAAATCTCTCTAATCAAACTCGAGTTGTTAAGTTATCGTTAACAACTGAAAATGAGTTAGTTACAATTTTGCGGCAATGTTCCTTAACTGATTTAACTAAGCAATAAGAAGAAATAAATTGTAATTTTTGGATAGGCAGTGCCGGCCCTAGGCATAGGCAACTATGGTGCTAAATAGGGCACCCAAAATTTTTTTTTTTTTAATATAATAGGTCTATTTTTATTTTATTTTTTTGGTATTTAGATATGATCTAAAATTTTTAGAACTCAAATTTTAAGAGTTTAAATCAATATTTAATTTTGTTAGGTTTAAAATTATTCTCGACTTAATTAAACTCAAATTTTAGAGGGCTTGCAAAATTTACCCTTTTAGTAGAATAGGTATATTTTTTTTTTATATTTTAGATATGATCCAAATTTTAAGAGTTCAAATTAATATTTAATTTTGTTATGTCCTAAATTACTCTTCAGTTGGTTAAATCCAAATTTTAGAAGGCCCCAAAAAATTTACCCTTTAGTATGTTAAGCCTAATATTTAATTGAGTTTATTAGGTGTGGGTACAATTTTTTTAGACTTATTTGAGAAGAATGTATGGATAAATTATTTACTCTATTAAGTTCAATTTTTATAAAATATTTTGTGATTAGGTATAAAATTCAAATGACTTTTTATTTATTTTATTTACATACCCTTCCTTAAATTATGCATATTCTTATTTTTTTTTCATTCTCTGTCTCTCACCCTATTTCTCACAGTGTTACTGTCTATCTCTCTCCATTACTCTCTCCATCTCTCCTCTATTCTCTCTCTCTCAAAAAATAAATCAAATATTTACATATTTAAAAAAAAATTATCAATGGAGGAGATAGAGCGAGAGAGAAAAGAGAGAATAGGGGATACATAGAGTAAGGGAGACATAGATAGATAAAAAAATATGGAAGAGAGAGTAAAAGAGTAATGAATGACCTTTTAGTTTTTTTTTTCAAAAAAATATACTTAGAGTTAAATAAGTTTCCTTAATACAGTTTATCTAAATTAAGTCTAAATTTTTGTACCGACTTCCAAATTTTTCTATCTAATTTTGTTGGTCAAAATTACTCTATAATTGGTTAAGTCCAAATTTTAGAGGCCCCGTTAAATTGCTTGTTCAAAACTTAATTAGTAACATCTTATTTACGATTAATTAAGATTGAATGAATTAACTTTATTATATATTAAAAAAATTTATTCTCAAAACTTAAATATAAGAACTTGATCAATATTTTGCATCTAAAAAATAAAAAAATTATTTACCTTGGCCGTCCCTGTGGATTGAATTGATTGCGTAAGGCAATATAGAACATAGTGTGACTAACGACAACAATGATTGGACTTAAAAATCTAGATGACCAACTGCGCTACATATACTAACAATGCCCCCATTTGTATCATCTTTGACCATTCCCTAACGAGTATTGAGCTGGAAACCATAGAAAAAAATGAATTGCCCCTTCTTGTGGATATGCTATTTTTTATACCCTATGGTCCCCATTAAGTTTTGATATATTAAAATTTCATCAATATTTAAATACATCATCAATAATGCTCGGAACACGTTTGTTGATAAGTCATATCACCTATTTTGAAAAAGTGAGGGTATTGTTTGATAACAAAAATTTAAGTATTAATTTTTTTAAGTATTTATTGTTTTAATATAAATTACATAAATTTAAGCAGTTAAATTTTGCTTCCATTCGAGGGGTCATCTAAATCTATTGAAAACCAGTGCATGTTAATTGGAATATTGCTAAAAAAAAAGCTTACCAACTTTTTTTTGAAAAAAGAAATTATTTACTCAATGGGAATATGGGTTGAAAAAAAAAAAACAACAGAGGTGTTGTTGATCAAAACGACATCGTTTTAGAGATGATGTTGATCAAAACAACATCGTTTTACACCTCTGTTGTTAGCAGAGGAGCAGGACCCATGAGAATATATAGGTGATTAGTCTTCTTATTAAAGTAATTAAACAGCAATCAAGCAAGGTTTATGGGAAATCAACTTATCTCAAAAAAAAAGTTACCTCAAATAGCAGTATTGATAAAATGTATACTAAAGAAGAGAGTAAAATAATACTAATATTCCTTCGAGAAGGTTGTATACAAAGCAATAAGCAAGCCTTACCTTGTAAAGATTGTGAACTAATTTCTTCTAGAAGACTTAACCACTAATCAAATAACTTGTTTTTGTTCTTCTTTTGTATAATCTTTCTTTACTCAAGCATATGGCAACCAGTGAAAGACATACAGTGAGAAAGTATTAATAAAATGGTGAGGATTTGGCTTTTTCACTATTATTTCGAAAGGGAACAATGAGATTTGAACTCATAATCTTAAAATTCAATAATGAGACGGTGGCCATTAACTATAATAACAATCAACCAAGCACAAATATAATTATCATCCGAACACATATAATCATACTTTTGGTTTGATTCTCACAAGAGTTGCTTAGCATTCTTATTGAAATATAAACATACATAAAGGAAAATTGACTCCATGCAAGCTATGTCACGTGAAAATATCATTACTTGTATTTAATTTATTCAATTATTGTCGTTGTTTTTACAATGAATATGAGATTCATTATTAATCTAAAAATAATAATGTAACTCCAAATAATATTAATCGAAAACACACTAACAAAGAAGGTCAATGAAAGCGAAAAAAACCCTAGCAAAAGGAGGATGAAGAAACAAGATTGGCTCATTGTAACTCACGACATTGCCATTCGGACAGTTGGATGAACTCGGTCCTCGCCTAACCGATTTCTTCCATATGTCAACAAACTGTCAAATTGACTCGGTCCAATAACTCGTTCTCCAAACCGAGTTGACTCGCTTATCCCATCTTTCCTTGCCATCCCCAGCAACATCCTCCCTCTTTCTCTCTCCTCCTCCAGCTTCTGAATCTGCATCTTTGTGTGGTTTATCAAATCCCAAAACGCATCGTTCCTTTTCTTATTTGCAAACAAACCCACCAATTTCTCTTTAGAATCCAATAATCTTTTCAAGCAACAATTCAACTCGGCCGATTCACTCGAGCTCAAACCGTCAATCCGGTCACCGAACTCACTGAGTCTGATCATGATCTGGTACTGAGTCGAACGGTAATCTTCACTCACCAGTCTCATGATCTCATACACCAAAGCGTTCTGTTGATAATTCAAAGACTCTGGTGCTCTGCATATCTCTTCAACCATACCCACCAAAGAGTCTAGCTCTCTCAACAAATCGGAGTTCAACAAAGATGATAAACTGTCTTTCACTTTATCTAAATCAATTTTTACAGACGAAGAAACCGAAAAATAAGAACCCAAAACCCTAGTAATCATTAGATTACGTTCCAAAACACCGGCATACCATCTCACCCACCATGAAAATTCCCAAGTCACAACATCATTTTTGTCTCGAAACCTCGAAAGATTAAGAAAGTTCCGGCCGCCGGCGGTGGGGTAGAAGGAGAGCTGGTCTTTGAGGATGAAGGAGCCTCTTGTGATGATGTTATGGAGGATCATGAGACATTTCATGGCTACAAAAGCATTGCTTGTGTTGTGGAGACGGTCCATGATCGCTTCGATGCACGCACATGCAGTGGGCCGAGAGCTGTGACCATGGGAGAGAACGGCGGCGATGCGGTGCTCCGGTGGTGGCGCAGTGGAGGCGTGGGTGGTGGCACGGAGGACGGCAACGTGAATTGAACAGGCCGTGCGTTTGGTTGATAGTGTTGCTTTGATCAATGAAGCTTTGTCTTTGAGAATGCCTATGAGTTCTCTGAGTCTCTTTCGTGGGGCCATGAAATTAACGCCTGGTTTGCCAAAATTTGATGAAGAGAAAATACAGATTAGGCATGTAATATGAACTAAAAGTAACCAATTCATGTGTTTACACATGTTAATTTAGTAAATTTGAAGTGTGTGTGCGCGCATAGAAAAAATCTACGCGGGGTTTGAAGATTACAATTTTGGAGCCGCCTTTTCTTACCGTTTCTTGATTGGATGTGTGAGTAGTCTTTCCAATTTGATGCTATATCAAACCGGTCAAAGTATGAAGAAGTAAATTGTTTAAGCAAGTTTCAATAGATAAGATTTTGAAATTAAATAATATTTTTTTATAGAAAATTAAAATTATATGAGTAATTAAATTAAAGAATAAATTAAGTGTTGAATAATTAATTCGTATTTTAATTATTATTAAATTTAATTATTCATTTATTCTATAAGTTTTTGAATAATTAATATGTCATTTATTTAGCTATCTCTCCAATCATTTTAGTCATTTGTCTATCTAATCATATTATAGAATTATTAATTTTTCTTTTGTTAAATAGATTGATTAGATCACTTATAATATTACTAGTCATATCCCGTGCCGGAAGACACGAAAAAAGTATAAAATTAAAGTGGTCAAAAAATTGATCTCATTATATTAAATAAAAAAAAAATTTCCTTCATTTATTTGATCATATCATTTAAAATATATTTTTATCCATTATTTTTTAAAAAATATAGACAATTGTTTTTTAAAATACGTAATTCAAAAATATTTTCTCAATATATATATACTATCGTATATAGATAATATTTGAAATAAAATTATATTAAAATATAAATTAATTAAATATTAAATAATTGAGCATGTGATAAGATGGGTGATGTGATAGAATTATAAGGGAAAATATGTAGGATATAAAATTTAACTTCTTATGTGATTTATTATATAGATTATATTATTTCATACTAAAAAATAAAATATAATACATATTTGACCGTGTAATTCAAATTGATCATTACACGTGTATAATAATTTAACATATATATGATTTTACTTCTTTATATACATATAAACAATTGTATATATTTGTATTACTAATAAATGAATTCAAAAAAAATTAAAAATCCTTATAAAAGAGTTCAAAATAAACTAAAATTCAAATAAGAATAAAAAATAAAAAGTAGATGAAAGTATACAAGTGGGTATAATTGACTTTAGTATAATAATTAGGGATAAAATATAAAATCAAAAAATTTTCACAAATACTAACATTTATAAGTAGTATAGATATAGATATAAATTTAACTGTTTCATCATATTATTGTTTTAGAGTAATAATATACAGATTCAAAAATTAAATTAAAAATTTGACTTGATAAAATAATTGTTATATTTGTCATTAATTTAATTGTAGATTTTAATATTTATTGAGATCCACTACCTATTCAATGATAATGATTCGTCAAATCAAATTTTTAAGTTGATTTAGCATTTTTCCTTTTTTTTTAATTCTACTAACTAGATATGTGCTTTATTTTTTTTAAATAACTTCTCTATAACTAGGAATTTGAGTTATTTTGAAAACCTGTTTTTAGGATTTGAGAGTTCTTGTGAGACCTAATCATGCAGTACATGCATATTAGTATAATTTTGTGGGTTAAATTATAATTATGTTAAATTATTAAATGATTAATTAAATTAAATCTTTCATAGCCATAATGTGTGTGAGCATGCATTGGATATGTGGACCTCGTTATTGATGTATTAGTAAGACCTATTCGTAAAAATTTTATGTGTGAAAAATAGTGGGTCGATTTTGAAAGCACTTAAAAACTTGGTGGGAGGCCAACATAATTACAAAAAAAAAAAAGGTGAGTCATCTTAAGTATTAGGTGTGTGTGCCATGTGTGCGTGTGTGTCTTAAGGTGTGGAAGTGTGTGTGTGTGTGTGTTATTGTCTTCTTGAAACCGTGAGGGTGAGCAAGAGTGAAAGAAAGAAAAAAAAAATAGGTGTGTTCCTGTGAGCCGAAAGCAAGGAAGGTATGTGAGACTCAATTTAAGCATGTGTTGTGATTAATTTTAGTACATATGTATTTGTATTTGTGTGGACTGTTTTAACATGTTTTTAAATTAGTGGTTATTTTAATTTCATTCATGAATTGTTTTGGTTAATTTTAATGGGTTGTTTTAGTTTAATTTCAAAACTTATTTTTGTGAGTTTAAATTAAATGTATTAAACATAAATTAGTAGATTATTTTGTGTTAAATTAATGGGCTGTTTTATTTTAAGTTTTAAAATTTTTTTATTAAGGGTGTTAAACAAAATTTAGGGACATTTAAGAATGAGTGTTGAATAGGTATTCAATCGAGTGTGCAAAAAGTGTGGAAATGACCATTTGAGGTATTCGGAAAACATTTAGTGGGGTAAGTTGGAACCAAAATTGTAGGAGTGAAATAGGGAGTTAAAAGATTCAAAGAAGGGCCTATTATGTATGCTTAAATTGTTTAAGTGTGGCTATGTTAAAAGAAAAATGCGAAGAGGTTGGAAATGGGTGCTGAAAATGCCAAAATCCTGATTTTTAAAAGTTATTATCACATGTGTGAATTTTAATCTGAATGACTTGAAATTTTGCATACTACATTTTTAAATGATGCTTGATGTGATAATGTGACTTTCAAATGCAAATGAGTATACTATCCGATGCAAAATGTATGAAATACCAGAATTCTAATTTTTAGGATTTAGGGTTAAAATATGTGAAAATGGGCCCTCGGTCAATGTGTTTGACCTACTTAATTCTAATTGTGATTAATGTGAGTGATTTTAGAAATTTGGAGAGGAAATGTGATCACTAGAACAAAAGTGCTAATGTGTGAGTAGATAGTGCGGTAACTAGAATTACCAAGACACTTTAGGGTGCATCATTTTGCATACATTAATGCATGATTAACTATTAAATGTGATAAACATATTGACATTGTAATTACAAATGTGTTAAGTGGAACGAGTGAGATAGTCGGTATTAGAATAGATACAGTAACACCGAAAGGATTCACCGATAAGACCAAAGGATTGTAGATCTGTACATTGAGATGGGTGTATATCTTTATATATTTTGCAAATGCTATCATAAGATGATAGTAAATGATAAAATTTAATAGTAATTCTTAAGGATTATGTTCTATTTGCTTATTTGATTGAATGATGTTTTGTATTGTGTATTGTGGAATGTGGTGTACTATTTGAGACAGGGGCGTCGATGCCTGATCACTGGGCGTGCAGTGGTGTGCTAGCACTGTGGTGTTTTCAGGAGGTTTGGAAGACACGGATCCATGTGAGATCGATTACTCGATGAGGGGTGATATAGATTTGATATAGCTTGTGAATTCTTTAGAATTTGATTGATATTGTTGTTTGATACGTGTATCTATGTAGTATTTACATATTTTAGTGTATTACTATCATTTTCATTTTATATACAACATGTATACTCACTGAGTGTGTGATTTAGCTTACACTCTTAGGGCATGTTTGGTATGTGGATTTGGAGGGGTTTTGAATCATGGGTTGGGGATTAAACCCCCTTAAACCCATGTTTGGCAATTATACATTTAGTCTAGAGTTTGAAAACCAGCCCGATCATGGCTCGATCATGAAACCCAAGGAGGGATGAGTTTCAAATGTGGGTTAATGAGTTTAACATTTAAATGACATTTATACCCTCATATATACAAATTGGTTAAGGGACAAAATAGTTATTTATATACAAATATATTATCATAATAATCATATATTGCAGCGCATACCAAACATGGGTATGAACAATATTGAATGTTGAATCTCATATTTTGGTCGAGCAATGCTATTGAGACCTAATTTACTGACATAATTTGCTGATCTAATTCACTGTGATTTTTACATTGACTATAAACCCCATCAAACATTAAAACTTGGTGTTGATCCAATGATTCCTATGTTGCCATATCATTATATCAGCAAATTAGGTCAGATTTTTAGGTCCAAATAGCATTATTCCTTTGGGTTAAACCTAGATTTAGACAAGTCAATCCAAACATTTTCCAAAAAATATATCAAACAGACATACCAACACAGGCCCCTATTGTTCTTTTTTTCAGGTACTATAAAAGGAGGATGCAGACCAGTCCACTATCCAATCGATTGAGACTTGTACAACGTTAGTGTGATATCACTCAAGTTGAGTGTCGATATGACTGATTGCTGGGTTGTGTATTATATTTGTAAGAGGCAAAAAATTGAGAATACCTCCTACAAGGATTGAAAAATTGATGAGTTTCTGAACTCGATCTCTCAGTCTTCCCTTACCTACAAAATGAACAAACCGCTCAAGATCAAAGTGTTTCGATCGAAGACACTCCGATGCTTAAGTCAGTAAAGATACTGGAACGAATGGAAGAAGACCAAGAGAGTTCAGCGTCCCTTTTACCTTGGATTCTTCTGATTTTTATAGATGGTCATCCCCTTAAGGTTTCTTTGATTTTTAATTCCAAGTGGCACACATTTCTTCAATTCAATGGTTCAGTTTGGGAAGTTGCTGATATTTTTTCAATAATTCCTCCTGATATCTACAATTTCGTTGATTCATTTATCCAATTGCCTAAGTTATAGGCGAATCTTTATCTTTTCATATATTGTTTTGAACAGCTCGGACATATTGAACGCCGAGCACATTTGATATTTGCCGAACAGTTTTAGGGACTTGGTTTGGCCCAAACCATTCTCTTCAATCGCCTTTCCGAACACTTTAATAAACTCGGTTTGGTACAAGCCGAGTTCTTTCTGTACAAATTGATGAGGTCGGTCATAAAGAGAACTGAACTTCTTCTTTGTTTACCGAACCTCTTGTTAGCTCGGCTTGGTTAAAAGACTTAATCAAGGATTCTTCATCTCGTGACTTGTCTTATCACCCTCACGTGGGCTCAGTTAATACCATAACACGTGAAATAATATGGTTTAACCCCTTCATTTGCCCTCTAGAAAACATCTGACGAACGTTTTTCCTCTGTCCGCCGTTTTCTTACCTTCTCATCATCATTATTTGTACTTTGTAAC